TAAAGTAAGGAAAAGAAAAGAAAAAGAAATCAAAGAGAAAGCTAAAAGTGCAAGAAAGGAAAAAAGGCAAAAGAAAAATAGGAAAAAAAAAGAAAGAAAAAGATATAAAGTGGCTTCCAATCTTCTTTACAGCAGTTATAAGTACAATTACAAATTTACCTCATACTCTGAGATTACCACATAACTCTTTAGATACCAGGTTTATTTGAATGGATCAGGTGGAGAAATATATGCTCATATATTTTGGAATTTAATTTACGAGGCTGCCATTAAAGCCCATTCAAGAATAATCATATAATCACTACACTAGAACTAGTCCTGCAAGAATTCACTGAACCCCATACTGCTAATGGTGGTATTTGTGATGAGGAAAATAATCATAGTGCCATCCAGATCCCTGCATATACACCTAAACTCTATGAGATATATAACCATTTATACAGTTAATATATGTATAAATATATTAAAGCTGATACAGTCCTTTGTAAAATTCTCCAATCAGTTATGGAAAGAGTCCATTCCTAGATTGATCTTCCCCAAACAGACCTGTCGTTCTGGCCTGGTTGGCTATGCTAGGGATTTGTAGTGTAGTGCATCTTCTGACCGACAAACTGGGCATCATTTGGCTAATTTCCTAATCTCAATAAAGGACTTTGAGGACACATTTGAGGGAAGGGTAAGAGCACTGCATTCTCCTAGGTGTTATTGTGAATTCTCCCAGGTGTAACATTTGAAAGAATGAGCCATTTGAGCAAGACAGTGTATGAGACATGCTCTTTGAATATATATTCTCCTAATAGCTTATATTGATGACCAGCTAAATAAAGAAAATAGCCATTTCAAGTATCATTGTACTGATTACAGAAGCTGATTTATGGCACCAGAGATTGGTTTTATTTTTATCTAGGAAGATTTATTATCTGGAAAGTACTTAATTTTAAAACTGTTATGCCTCCCAGATGTTGTTAATTCTTTTAGCAACCAACTGCAAATGAAGATGCTAAAATCAAATGTTTATTATAGCAGTACAGCTGTTTACATCAAGCATCCGCAGCGTAGTCTTGCATTGCTTCTAGTTGGAACACGTTGAACTTCAACGCTTTTGCAATCTAATGTCTTTCCTCCGAAACAGGAAGGCAATCTGCAGTCCTCCACATTATTAGTCTCTTTGTGCTTCTGATTCTTGAAGGCATCATAGTATGCTTTACTACAAATAAAATAGCCGTATGTACTGAGTTTATATGTGATGGATTTCAGATAGTGACCCCAGAACACATAGAAGAATGGAGGACTTCGTCAGTTCCATCCAGTTGAAAGTTAAAAACTTTTCAAATACATGTTCTGAAACCACAAGGTTAACCAATTATTAATTTGATAGTTTCTAAAAATCTTGTTATTTTATTTCATAATTTTTAGTATTACAAGCCTGTATCAAGTCTTATGTTGACTTTTTAGGATGATTTTTTTCTATATGATACATCATTTTTGTTCTTACTGTTGTAGATCAAAGAATTCAATAATCAGATGCATGGGATTTCAGGCAGTGGATTTGCTGCACTTACATTTGATGGTACCATCGGAGCCCCAGTGATTCCCCGAACATCTAGCAAAACATTTTCATTTACAGATGAAGACAAAAAAACTGTAGAAGACTTGCGTATTTGGGTGGCAAGTAATCTTCCTAATCCAGCTCCCACAAAAAAATTATGTGACATCCAGCCACCAATGTTTTTTGAATTCACCTGCCAACTAGTAGGAAAAGCTAAAGTGGATGGATCTTCTTATCTTCTCAAGGTCTGTTTTTATTTATTTATTTATTATTATTGTTGTTGTTGTTGTTGTTGTTGTTATTATTTTCCACCCCTTCCCTCATTAATGTATAATAACTGTTTTAATTAAACAGTAATTACACATTAGCCCTGAGACTGAATATAATCTAACCTATGATATTTTTTTTTTCTGATCAGCAGTGTCACAATCAAAATAAATCTTAAATCTTCTGCTAGAAATGCTGCCTTTTATGGTTCCTGAATGCTTCTTTGGCCCATCTTGGAGAATTTATTTATTATTTATTTATTATTAAGCACATTTATATAGCCGCCCATCTCACTGAAGTGACTCTGGGCAGCATATAACAATCAGATAAAAAGACAAGTATAAAAACAGCAGAAAAAATATTTAAAAACCACATTAATAAATAGTATAAAAGGTTTTAAACTTGGAACTTGTTGGATACCAGAGGATTCATTCAAGCAAATTGATCATCTCTGTTTTTCGCTGGCCATGTTTTGGCTCAATTTAGGGTGGCATCTATCTAAACTGACTTCATTATTTGATGGCCCTGGTTGTTATTCAAATCATTAATAGTAGCTTGGGAAGGAGACAGTGGTGTGCACTTGTAAATATCCCTTTTTGAATTCAAATTAGTCATCATCCATATTTCTGCTGTCTTGTTAAATCTTTTATGAATCTTTTGGTATTACCCATCTATGGATTTTGGATTTTTTCCCACGAACCACTGGAACTATGATTGCTGTTTATGTGCCTTGGAAATAAATTAAGAAAATATGGTTGAAATATGTTTGTGGAATGCAAAAGTCTCTCACTTAACCTCTTTTGCAACTGTTTGGAATTCTGAAAGTTTAGAAGTATAAAATATGTCAAAATAGATATAGAAATTGTGATAACCCTGTGTGCAAGAGAGACTTAATGTTTGGCCTACAGATATAGGTTACTTTTGCATCTGTTTAGGTACATACATAATATCTTTAGTAAAGACTTGCTTGGAAAGGTAATTGTGTCTTTCCTTTTTTGCTCCTAAATTTCTCAGAGGCTTTTTCATCAACCAGAGATTCCTTGCCTTGAAATAATGACAGAAATTTAAATTTCTATCTTCAGATTCTGCATTTGCATTTTAGAGTTATTACAAGAACATATTGTCATATGTTTAGATACATGGGAAAATTGAATTTTATTCCTTCCCTGATGCAGGGATGAAGTTTCTCGCATCAATTTATGTTTGTACTGCATGAAAAGAAATCTATTTAAGCCATTTCCTACATCATAGCTGTTGCTTATATTAAAATGGAGATCCAAGACATGAATGCATAACAAACAGAAATCCCATACAATCCGCTCTTGAGCAATTCATTCTACTCCATTGGATGTCTACCTTTTCCTTCTGCTGTTTATTTTTACCAAGATTGCATCTTCTAAGTGCTGTGTTATATGTCTGAGTCCCAAGACATATAACACAGGTTATATGTCTATGATATATTTGAGGGCCTGAAACTGCATAGAACAGGATCACCCACACACCAATCTCCATGTGATCAGCTCGGAGGTCTGAAATGGAAGTATCACTGCATCACCTAGAATATATATACCATTTGCCACACAGTCTTTACTAAAGTAGGGTAATCAATCGAATGCAAATACAGCTTCTTTTCAAACCTTCCCATAATGAAGATCACCATGAGCAGAGATTGAAGCTAGTATATATTTCCCTATTTTCAATTAAATTTCATTTTAAGCTATTATCTCATCAGGTAAATGCCTGAATTGGGCTGGTATGTATGTAACAATATATAAAGGCTTTGTTGGATCTGTACATTTGAAGTGGGAGATGCTTTTATACTATCTGTACTTAAAAGTTCCTGCATGCAGAAAATCAGTATGTCAACAGCTATAAGCTAGAACTTTTCTCTTTGTTACCCCACATAAAAAAAAAAAAAGATAGGAACAGCATTAATTTACAGATAGCTTTTCATTCTTAGTCAGACTGTGTATCATTTGTTTGGCCTTTCTGCTTTGAGAGATAACATATTTTTAAAATAAACCCATTGATAGTGTCTTGTAACTAAAGGGACTACGACCAGGAGTGTCTGTAGCAGAACATGTGGTTAACTTCGTTTCTTCCAAGCTTGTTCCTTTCTGCTTTACTTTGTGCTGGTCTAGTTCCACCTATAAAAGCTCCATGCAATTGAAATAAAGTCTGAAAATCACTGGGCGAATTAAATCCATTTAGTTTTTGAAGGATGAAAGAGAAATTCCTGTTTGATATATAGAATATAAGTACCCATGTTTGAAAAATGATGACATTTATCACTTACATTCTCTAGTTCACTATAAGTAGTAGAAGGCAATAATTTAGTTTAATCTTTTTAGGGCCAATATGCTTATATTCAGATTAGTATTTTACTTAATTTATATGCCACTTTTCTGTTTGGAATGACCATTCAAGGAGGCTTACAATTTCAAATATTTCATATTTAGAGTAGTAAAATATTTAATGTTAAATATTACCCTTATTCTTTAAAAGGTCCCAATAATAAAATTCCAAAACATCTGGAGCCCCACTTGAAGACCATTGGCATTAGATCTGTGAAACTAGGCAGGAGTTAATCTTTTTAGGGCCAATATGCTTATATTCAGATTAGTATTTTACTTAATTTATATCCCACTTTTCTGTTTGGAATGACCATTCAAGGAGGCTTACAATTTCAAATATTTCATATTTAGAGTAGTAAAATATTTAATGTTAAGTATTACCCTTATTCTTTAAAAGGTCCCAATAATAAAATTCCAAAACATCTGGAGCCCCACTTGAAGACCATTGGCACTGACAAAATCACCATCCGTCAATTGCAAAAGGCAGCTTTACTTGGAGCAGTTTACATCCTGTGACAATATCTTTAACACCATCAAACAACAACATCTGCCTATCCCAGGTCC